ACTTAGATCTGGTTACTACCATAATGATTATCTCCACAGAATGTGGGTGTGTGGTCACTCTTAGCTTCATTTCTCCCCATAGACCTTACTGGCATGGGTGTCCCTACCAGGAGCTTGTGCTCCAGCCTGCATTGCCCTATGATTCAGTAAAATTACTGGGCTCTCCCACCACGACCAGGTGGTGACCACGGGAGAGCTATTATTATTATTATTATTATTTATTATACCTAAATAATAATGTTTATTGAAATAAAAGATAAATCTGATAACATTAAATGTTATTTGTATTTCTTATTTATTTATAGGATTCTATTGCTTAACTAAAATGTAAAAATAAAGTTTTTTTCTTCTGACAAAACAAAGCAATAGACAAAATAATTATAAATACTTCTATTTTAATTTCATATAAATTAAAAATATATTTACTAAATTATACAGAATTTTTTTTACACTTTCCACTATAGGCAGTAAGACGACCTTTTAATCATACCGAATATCTATTGTGAATTTAGCCAAGCTCACATACAATGAGAGTGGCCAGGTGGTAAGAAATGGGCCCAATGGATCTGTATCAGACCACGCCTGAAAAATCCTGGAGCTTTTTGATACCTGGATTCAATTCTGGGTCTTTGAAAGTGACAGGCTAATGCCTTAACTGCTTCAGCCATCCAGTTTTCAAAATAAAATGTTTAGAATTAGTAATAATGTATTTAAATCTCAATAAACAAACCTTTCAATCCAGTGATTATAACTGCTGGAGAAATATCATCGTATGTTTTCATTAAATAAATTGTACCATTTTTGAAACAAACTGCCAGGACAGAAGACTGAATTTCTGTAAATTATATATAATCAGAATAAAAATATGTTCACATTTTATTTTCATTAAAAAAAAAAAAACAATTAAAAGATTACTTTATCATTTTATACTTCAAAAAAGTATAGCAAAATAAATATACTGTAGATGCACCTACAATTTAACATATTATTTAAGAAAAAAAATAAAACAGCATTACTTTTAAAGATCTGAGACATTTAAATTCTGATTCTATGTTATATTTTTGGAGATTTAATTTAAATCTCCAAAAATGTAACTATCATTGAGCAAGGCATTTTTCACATTATATTAGTAAAAATTTAATTATTAACAGGACTAAACAAGACTTCATGTTTGCATAATAAAGCAGTGATCAGCTCATATTGCCATTAAGCTAAACAAATTTTAAAGTAAGTTGTTTGATATTACTAACCACAGATGTTTTTTAATAATAATTAAACAAAGATTAATCATTTAGTACTGGAAAAACCTAGATGAATACATTATAATATGGCTTGTTCCAGGCTATGGCAATCAAGTTTTACATATAAGCAAACATTATTTAATTCACTTTTTATTCCCAATAATTTATAACTAAGTATTTTGTTCTAGTTGGTTTTAAAGACCATTGCATGAAAATTAGAACATTTGAGTTTACATCACTAGCTTATAACTGCATTGCAATAGATCTACTCCAACTTGACCATCATCTTATTAGATGTATAGTGATTTTTTTTCTCACAAACAAATTTTTGAAGAAAACAAAAATATCAGAAAATATAATATACCGTTTTTTTTTATTAATTGATAAATTTGAAACATATATTAAATATGCTATTACAGAAAGCTATATATCATAAGAATTGTTGAAATTTTTTCCACGAATCATTATATATATTACTCATTAAATTTGTACAAAATATTTTTCTTAAATGCTTACTGTANAAAAAAACAATTAAAAGATTACTTTATCATTTTATACTTCAAAAAAGTATAGCAAAATATATTACCTTGTAGATGGACGGTATCACCTTTCTGTTCTAAATCATTATCTTCCATTCTAAATTTTTCACCTGACCATGACATGGCAGTGATTGAAACATTCTCTTGTACACTAACTTGAGCTATTACTACACCATGGACATCTATCACTAAAATATGGCCTTTTGTAGTTCCAAACTGAACCTAAATTTAAAAGGAAACTAATTACTGTTGTTTAAAAAATTTAAGAACAAATAACAAAGTACAGGTAAATAATCAATTTGTAGGAATTTTAGCAGCAAATAAATTTTAAAAATTAGTCATTTAAGAAAATAGCACAATTCATAATATGATGAATAAGGAATTATGTAATTATTACTTAATGTTATAATTTGTTTGTCTTAAATTATAATTTCTTTTGCAATTTTCTGGAAAACAGATTTTAGTTTATACAATCGTTTGTTCACTTATATTGGAGTTTCATTATTTATTGTGAAAATCTGTATATTGCTGGAATATCTGATTGAGTCCTAAATTTGCTGCAATGGTCACTGATATTAGTGGATCCTCTCTGATTTTATCGTATGCAAATGTGAAATATATAAGACAGTGTATTTACAGTGGAATTTCATTATCACAAACTTAAGGGGCACCAAATATGTTTGTTAAACTGTAAATTGTAATGAAATCATATTAAGTCTATTAACCAAATTAATAGACTTAATATGAAATCCACATCTAAAACAAAGATGTTATGTACTGTATGCTACTTACACTGGCAGAAAAAAGTATTGCATACTTGGTATTTTTGAAAAAATAGTGAAAAATAGTTATAAAAAATAATTTTTCAAAACAAAAACCATATACATAGTTAATAATAATATATATATAGCATTCACTACTAAATATTAGTTGTAATATATTTATATTTTAATTAAAATTACACATTATATATATACATATATATATAAAAAAAATTACACATTAATATATTCTTAAAAAGATGAAGTTTCCTACTCATCAAAGAACAAAACTACTGTCACAACTGAAAATAACACTAAAAATTATTACAATTAATATTTAGTAGTGAATGCTTACTGCTTAGTTTTTAATAACAGCTTTTAGTCTCTTTGGCATTGAATGCACTAATTTTTGCATGGTTTCAGAGGAAATTTTTTCCCATTCTTAAAGGAGAACTCTTTTTGAACAATCCAAGTTCAATATCTGATGTTTTTCTCACTCTACTATAAAGTTCCTTCCATAAATGTTCAATAAGATTCAAAATTTGAGATTGTAGGGGATATTTTAAAATGTGAGGCATATGTTAAAATAGCCATAGTCATAAATTTAAGATCATTGTCTTTCTGAAAGTAAAAGTCACCATCTAAGGGTGTGACTATGCAGACACGAGCGAGCGAATTTTCCGAGCGAACGAGAATATGTGGCGAGAAGAGGCGAGAAGCGATAAATATCAAAACCTGTCAGATATGTGCTAGAACCAGAAATTATCTCTTGCCAGCGTTATTTCTCGCTTCTCGTTTGTGCATGGTTTTCCTTTGCGAAAACTAAATCGCTCGCAATCTCTCGCTTGCTATAAATTCGCATCTGCATAGTCGCACCCTAAGTTTCGTTTAACTGTACCTTTACTGAAGAATTTCCTTGGAAATATTTAAATACATCATTTTGTCCACTGTACATCTATTAAAACAACTGATATGCAACCCCACACCATCACACTACAACCCCATATTTTAATGTGGCTTAAACATTCTTTTCTTAAAACTCTGTTGGGCTTTTATCAAATTAAATTTTTTTTCCACTGCTATAAATTAGAGAGTGAATTTACTTTTGTCTGAAAACAATGCTTTAGACTTAAATAAATTACCTTTATATATATATGATATTTTGTGAAGGCAAATCTCGTCTTTGATTAGTTTTACTTATATGCAGCTTTCTTCTGGCTACTCTTGCTCTGTAACCAGCACAATGAATTATGAATTGTCTGCATGCCAATACTTTTATCCACTGCTGTATATAGTTTCTTTTTCTTTTGCCTATTTCATGTAAACAAAGTAGTTTAGTTCTGAAGTCATCAATTTAACTCATGATCCAAATCACATTCTTCCTATGCTTTTGTTTCCTATTCTAGAGAGGATGACCAGAAGGAGTCTGGGGATGTATCCCTTCCACAGACATCCCTTAGTGCCATCTTACTCTCATGCCTTCATAAAGAATAAGGCAAATACCAAAATTAAAAAAAGGCATTAATGAGCATCCTAACATCTGTGTCTATGAGAAATTGTAGTCCTTGTTGAGGTTAGTATACATGTAACTCATTAGTTACTTCTGAGTTCACCCCCTCTGCCTTGGATACAGTTGTTTACCAGGGGTACCAGTTAATAATGCAGATTTTGTTCAATAGATGACTTTACAGATATGTTGATATATATCCGATTTGATATGTATGCCACTTTATTGAATCGACAACAAGCTTTAAAACTTTATACATCAAATTTTCTGAAGGTGTTAACATCATGGATAATTTTATGATTAAATATGCCAAATTTTGTCCTGAAAAAAAAAGCATTTGCGGGAAGTTATAATTCATTACTTTATTTTGAAGAAAATTGCTGCTGAAAGTTATTGTATACTCCGGGAAGCTTATGGTAAACATGCCCCATCTCAAGATACTTGTGAACATTTTAAACGTGATGATTTCGATGTGAAAGACAAAGAACGACCAGGTCAACCGAAAAAGTTTGAAGACCAACAGTCACAAGCATTATTGGATGAAAATGCATGTCATACTTAAAAACAACTTGTAGAAAGATTAATTATTACTCAGCAAACAATTTCCAATCATTTACAAGCAATGAAAAAAATGTTCTGGTATGTTGGCTAAAGCAAGTTCATTCATCAAATCTTCCTATTTTGGGACAGATACCAAAGCAAAAGGCAATGGAAATTGCTGGGATACTTGGAGTAGAAACCAACTTCAGCACCAGTGATAGATGGTCAGAGAAGTACATTGCACTACTGTACTTTCCTAATTGTAGTTTTGTGGTTTTTTTCAACTTCGTTTAGTCATCGTATCGGATAACTTGACACATTTCCACTTCCCCTTGGGGTGTCGACTTTTGTGGACTCAACTTGTATATACAGTAGAGCGTCAATTATCCAAATCAATTGGGGACTGGGGTTGTTTGGAAAATCGATTTTTCAGATAACCGATTATGTACGAAAAAATACATTATTAATATAGTATATTAGTATATCCCAATAATAGTATATTAATATATCCCACGTTTAATTTTTCTCTGTTGCATGCCACTTTGTGTTGAATATTTGTCGATGTTAAGCCTAACGAAAATTTTTATAATAATAATCATGGCTATTATATCGTTAAAAATCATTTCTTTATTTTGTACAAACAAAATAAATATATTGAAAAATATAAAAACAAAAAATTATACTTTAGAAGTTAATCTAGTATCAAAAACGTTCAATTCAGCACAACACAGTCCAACTGGAACGCTTTCAGTTAACCGACATTATGGTTGATCGACATTCAGATAATCGATGTTCTACTGTATATTGTATGTAATATATAATGATTATTGTAATATAATGATATAATGAAATATTGTATATAAAATGTTGAATTACTTAATGTTAGATAACTAAATAAGGGATATTTAAAGTATATAGAATATCTAATGAAACTAAATCTTCTCTCTGTAATGAATAGCAATTATTATTCAAGTTAAAAAATAAAATCCAATTAAAGAAAAGCTCAAAATATTTTAAATATGTAAAAAAATTTCACTTGGATAAGATAACAAACAAGGATAACTGATGTGAATACTACAGTTAAGAAATTAAAATGGAACTGGACTGGCCATCTAAACAAGAAGAGAAAATAACAGATGGATAAACTATCAACTGGTGTCCAAGAGATTAAAAAAGATCAAGGAAACAACCTCATTCAAGATAGACAGACAAAATCATACAAATTGAAGGAATTACTTGGGCTCATAAAACTCTTGATGGGCAGATGGGGAGCACAATCAGAGAAACCTTCATTCAATAGTAAATTGTTAATGATTTAGTATGATGATGATGATGATGAAAATAATAAAGTTATTTGCAAAATTTTTTATTACAAAATTTAAATAAATGAAAAATCAAAACTGAACTGAAGAATATCAACCAACTGGCAAACATTATTTAATACTTAAACTATATGCATATCTTGGGTTCACTTTTTAAGAATTAAATAGTAGTACAGTAGAGCATCAATTATCCGACCCCCGATTAACAGTAACCTCAGTTAACCGACCATGTTCTAGTCAGCAAATTCAAATGTTCGCTAGTGATGTGGGCTACAATATTTGGCTATGTCTTGGCTACTTTAATATTATTTTTACATGTTTTAGCTGGCAACACTGGCTCGACCATGAAAGGGAGCCAGTATTTAAACGAGGCTTAATTTTCTAATTTTTAACGATACAATAGTGACAATTATTATTTTTAAAAAATTTTTATTAGGCTTAACATTGATGAAAATTCAACACGAAGTAGGTTAATAGCAATATACTAATATACTAATTACATGGGATATAATAATATACTACACTAATAATGGATTTTTTCATACTTTTTGGTTATCCGACTTTTCAATTATCCGACCAACCCCAGTCCCCAATTGAGTCGGATAATCAATGCTCTACTGTAGTTCTTAGTTAAAATAAAAAATAAGATATCAGAAGATGCTGTAATAAATTATCCTTATGTTGTTGTTATTTTTATGTATTTGTAGATTATGATGATGGGAGCAAAACTGTTCCCAAAATTATTTAAGAATAAATGCTATTGACTTCTGATAAAGAGAATCTGAATATACATTGTTATGAATTTTTAGAAAATAAATTCAAAGCAATTTTTTGAAAATCCAAAAAAATTCAACATGATTTTCTGAATCATCTCAACTGATGATTTAAAAATTATTTATTTCTATACATATTTATAAGTTTTGTCAAGCAAATATTTATGGCATAAAACAAATTTTTTCCAGTAATTAATAACTGAAGGCAACTAACCTGTTGATCATCTGGAGACCAAATTCCACAGGTAATAACAGCATCTATATTTAGTCTTGATGACCAATACCTTTGACCAGCAACAGATCCAACTAATATAAATCCATCTTGATAACATACGAGAGCCATGCGACCATCGTGACTCCAAGAAAAATCAGTCACTTCTATATTTCTATCATTTATCAATTCAATCGACCATCTACCTTCATATCTGATCCAGACAAATATAACACCAGTACTGTCACAGGATGCCAATTTCTGATATGGTTCATTCCATCTTACCATAATAACCTAAAATATATTAAAATTATTAAAATATAAATTTATTTATTGAGAAATAATAAATAATACTGATTAACTACTGAAGTGACATAAAATCTTGTTTTAAATTATTGAGAGAAATTAAATTTTATTATTATTTCTAATTTTTATTCTTGCCATTCACCAGATAGCTGA